CCACGAGGAAGGGGGGTGACGTGGAGACACCAGAGGGGGCGGGACGGGGAGGAGGAGGAGGAGGGCAGGGACTACCGGGGAAGGGGTGACCAGGAACAGGGGGGGGTAACCGGTGGACCACGGTGGGGGAAGCGGCGGTAGTAGGAGACGGACTCGTCAAAGGTGACGTCACGAGAGTGAAAGAAGCGGTGAGACGGCGGGTGGTAAAAGTGCCAGTCGGACGCGTCAAGGGAAAACCGAGGAAGACGCAGGGAAGGGTGCGGGCAGTGAGCTTGTCCGTGCCGGAGGCACGGACGTGAGCAAGGCAGCCCCAGACGTGGAACGCAGACGCGTCACCAGGAGACCCAGTCCACAGACAGGTCGGCGAAACCTGCGGCTGCTGAGGGTGCGGCCACAGGTTAAGCTGGTGAGAAGCGTAGCGCACAGCGAACGGCCACAGAAAATGGGGTGCACCGGCATGGACCATGGAGGTGCGAGCGACCTCCATGACCAAGCCGATGCGTCGCTCAGCGACCCCATTCTGCTGTGGGGAGTCCGGTAGGGTGAACGTCTGGGTGATGCCCTCCGCACGACAAAAGCGACCAAGGACACCTGAGGCAAACTCGCCACCACGGTCTGAGTGAAGACGCAAGACAGGGAGACCGCGGTGGACACGCGCAGAGACAAGCCAGGGGATGAGGGCGCCAGGCACGTCGGCCTTGCGCTCCAGGGGAAAGACTGTGGTGTAACGAGTGAAGTCGTCGACAAGCACAAGGAAGTAGCGCTCGCGACGCGGCCCAGGGACGGGGGCGGGCCCCAGACGTCCACGTGCAGGGTCTGCAGCGGCGCGACGGTAGGGGGGAACGAGGAGGAGTGAGGGGCACGGCGAAGCCGACCCTCGACACAAGGCGTGCAAGGTGGAGCTGGGGAGGAGGGAAACGCGGGGAGTGAACCTGGGAGACCAAGGACAAGACCGTGCTGGACATGTGACGCAGACGCGGGAGCGCAGGGTGACCTAGGCGGTGGTGCCACAGGAGGGTCGGGTGAGTGAGGGAGCGACAGGAGCAGGCAGCAGCAACCTGGGGAGACACAGCCACCTGAGGGGGCGCTCTAGCCGGGGGGGCACGGTGTCCAGAGTGAACAGGCCGGACACCGGGTCCCGGGGGAACGTGGACAGGGGGCACCAGTGGCGGCCTCGGTACAGACAGCATACCGCTCGTGACCAGGGAACGTAGTGGTGACGCCAAGGTCCTGGAGGCAGCCGACACCAACTAGGTTCCTGGAGAACGAGGGGATATGCAGACCTGTAAGAGAGCCCGAAGGAACCGCCGGACAGGGAAGGGTGGTGGAACTGCGGGCGACTACCGGGCCGCCGGAGGGGTCAGCAAGAGAAACGGCAGCAGGAACAGGAAGCGGCGTCAGGGTGGTGGAGTCGCGGAAGAAACACCGAGAGGCGCCAGAGTCCAAGGTAAAGGAAAGCGAAGCCGAGGGGTCTGGCGACGGAACGACGACAGAAGCACCAAGACTACACAAAGCAGGGGATCCTACGCCTGACGCAGCAGGGGGGCTAAGCTAGGCACACCTACACTAGGCAACAGTGAGTAATAAGTCGGAAGCACACTAGAGTCATCAGCATACATCACATGCAGAGCAGAAACAATGGCATCCATGTCCATATCAAAGATCTGAATCTGACGACTAAGCAAACTGTGCCAGTCCGGGAGGTCTGGCGACGGGCCGAAACGCTGACGAAAGAGGTCGTCCAGGCGACGAAAGCAGCGGGGAGTGGAGTGACCGATCTTACCGCAAACGAAACCGCGGCGAGGACCGGTCTGGATCTGGTACTGACAACGCCCGCCGGAAGAGCCACCTCGCGGCACACCACCACGCGCCCGTCCAACGCCAGCGCCGGGCCACCCTGTCGGGAGAACACTCGTCTGCCGCGTCTGCGACGGCTGCTGCGGCTGCTGCGAAGGCTGCGACTGCGGCGGCTGCTGCGGCTGCTGCAACTGCAGGGGCGGCGACTCAGCTGGACTGGGCAGGGTCCCCTCGTCCGCTCCAGCACCAGGCGACCCGACCCCACCACTACCCCCGCCCGCACCCCCGCCGCCCCCTCCGCCGCGCCCAGCCTTGGGGCGGCGGCCCTTCCCCGAACGGGCCTGCGCTGCAGCAGCAGTCTCAGCTACTGCGGCAGAGCCGTCGGAGAAGGTACACTGAGCAGGGGCACAACCCTGAAAGATAGGGACCGGCACGACACCGCTCGCCTGGGCGATGGAGCGGTGACGGGTCTCTATCACAGTCAGGGTGTCGACAAAGTCAGTGAGGGTGAGGTCTGCGGGGTGAACACTAAGGAAGCGGTCGCGGGCGACAGCAAGGCGGTCAGGGAGGCGGGTGGCAAGCAGGTAGAGGGTAGAGGTAAGGGGCGGCTGGTGGGCTCTAAGCTGTGCGTCAGTGCAGGCGGCGCGCCAGGTCTCCTCTATCGAGCGCAGGTGGGCAGCGAGGTCAGAGACAGTGGGGAACGAAGCAAGGTCAGGAAAGAGCAGCGGGAGGATCAGGCGACCCACCGAGGCAGCCGGAGGGGTGGAATAGCGCTTGATGACAGCATCTAAGTATGCCTGAGCAGTAGTGAGGGACCTAAAGCGAGGACGCTCGGACGGGGGGAGGGCGTTGCTAATGGCAAGCTGGGCGACAGCATCGCGAGAAAGCCAGACAGAGCGCGCACGGGCAGTGGCAGCAGTAGACTCACGCTCAGTGGGTGTGGGGTCAGCGGGCAGAATAGCAGGAGGGTCTGGGCAGGGGAGCGTACCGTCAAGGTGTGCAGAAAGCGGTTCACCATCCTGCCGCTGGCCAGTGAGTTGGCGGCGGAGGTCGGCAAGCCACGCCTCGAACTCTAGGGGCTGACCTTCAGCGTCGAAGCGAAGCTCCGCCGCCATCAGGAACAGTCCAGTGCTGTGCAGGGCGGTGCAGTGCGGTGCAGTGCGAGACAGTGCGGTGCAGTGCGGTGCAGTGCGGTACTGTGCGGTACAGTGCGGTGCAGTGCGGTGCAGTGCGGTACAGTGCGGTGCAGTGCGGTGCAGGGCGGCACGGAGCAGGGCGGGGTGGGGGGGGGGGGGGGGGGGGGAGGGGGGGGGGGGGGGGGGGGGGGGAACCGTACCAGTGAGGAGGACGGGGCCGGGGCTGGCCCGACGGGGCCGAGCGGGCGCGACAGGGCCGGGCTGATGCGACAGGGCCGGGACAGGGCGACGGGGCCGAGCGGGCGCGACGGGGCCGGGCTGGGGCGACGGGGCCGGGCGAGTGCGGCAGGGCCGGGCCGGTGCGACGGGGCCGGGCGAGCGGGACGGCGGCCGGGCTGGTGCGACGGGGCCGGGCGGCTGTGACGGGGCCGGGCAGGGTGCGACGGGGCCGGGCGGGTGCGACGGGGCCGGGCGGCTGCGACGGGGCCGGGCGAGCGCGACGGGCCGGGCAGGGTGCGACGGCGCCGGGCGGGCGCGACGGGGCCGGGCGGCGGCGACGGCGCAGGGCGGGCGCGACGGGGCCGGGCGGCGGCGACGGGGTCGGGCGGGCGCGACGGCGCCGGGCGGGCACGACGGGGCCGGGCGGCGGCGACGGGTACGACGCGGCCGAGGAGGGGCGCTACGGGGCCCAGGAGGGGCACGACGGGGGGGCCCAGGAGAGGCGCTACGAAGCCCAGGAGGGGCGCGACGAGGCCCAGGAGGGGCGTGATACCATATCAGAAAATTGAATGATGTGATAGAGGGAGAGTACACACAATATAGCTAAGTGTTGTACCCTCTAAGAGGCTACCCTATACAGTCTATACAAACATAACAAATAGACATGTTTGACAGCAGCCCCCGTTTTTTACCAAGCCGTAGGCCACGAAATCGAATTGCGATTGCGACATTTCGCATTGGCGACAAAATTTACGACCACAGATTTGCGCGGTTAGCATTTCGACCAATCGGGGCCCCGGCTTGGTTTTGCCGGAGTAGTGAACCCGGGTCCAACTTGAACTTCAAGTTGGGCCCACTTGGTGCAGCCCACAAGCAGTTGGGTCTGTGCGGCAGGTGGTGCGCTGCTTGCGAAATTGCCCGAGCCATTTTCCCCACCGCACGTCATGTTTTCCCCGCCAACCAATCAGGTAACTGCATCTTATCGCCCAGTTTCCCCTGCTTGCATTTCTCGACAGTGTATCCTCTGCCGCGTCGCAGGTTTGTCCCTTAGTCGCAAAAAGGGACGTCTGGGCCTTTTCAAGCTGGACCCGACTTCACTATTTTGACCTTTCGCTTTAAGTACCCCCACAAACACATGTACTTCTATGCCAGGTTCATTTCTTCAATAGCCATGCAGTGCCAAATCAGTACCCCTTAGTGGGCTTCATCTGCATCCAGCTCTTCACGCCATCGGTGATCGAGCCAATCCTCGTGAATGAGCCCCCACCACCGTGCGAGCGAGTCATCCACGACTCCCTTCCGCCCATTCCAGACGTCACGCCAGAATTCGTCCCTGAAGACGCATCGTCTTCTCCGGTTCCGGTGCTTGAACTCCCTTCTTGCGCCACCGACTCCCACTCTTCCTCCTTGTCGGGGCAGTGCTTGTCAATGAGGGCGTTGAGGCGGTACGCCACCTCCTTCATGTCGGGGCGCCGTGTGCCCGGCGCCTTGATGCAGTCCAGAGCCAGGTCAGCAAAGTCCACTATGGAATCCTCACCAGCCTGCAGCCTGGTGTCCTTGAGCTCGTCCAGCTCGTACGCCTCCACCAGCTTCATTGCCTGCAGCGCGCCAAGGCAAGGCAGCATGACATAGAGGAAAAGTTATTGCATGGCAGTGTGACAAAGAGGGAAGGCGAAGCAAGGCAGCATGCTGAGGAGGGAGGAGGTGCAAGGCAGCATTAATAATAAGTGAAAGCAATAATTCAAGTAACAAAGTCAGGGCCGGAATTGACAACTGGTGGGCATACCCATTCTCTGATGTGGGACTTCTTGTGGACTTGGGGCGGCTGTCCACTCAGCAACTCCAGCAGCACGATGCCAAAGCTGCAAGCAGCATCCAAGAGAATGGACATCGAAAGACTGCAAGCTTTGAAACAGCTGAGCTTCAATGCAAAGAAGCAACACCAACAAGTTTGAAACAGTTAAAAAACGTTTCTGGTAGCAAAAGTGAGACCCACCTGAAGACATCACTCTTAGCAGTGATAATGTTGGTGCGGTTGTAGTCGGGGTCCACATAGCCAGGAGTGCCCGCCACTCGAGTCGCATCAGCATCACCATGAGTGAGCAGCTTGAGCAGGCCAAAGTCAGCCACCTTGGCGTTCATGTCATTAGTCACAAGGATGTTGGCCGGTTTGATGTCACGGTGAACAATAGACCTCTCAAACCCGTGCAGGTACGCCAGCCCCTCCGCTGCTCCCTGTGCCAGGCGCAACCTCTGGCGCAGCGTGAGAGGGTCTGGAGGAGGGGAGAGGTTATGGAAGCAAAACATTGTTATATGCGTTGTTACTATATGCTAAACAAAGCAAGGCTCGCCTTCTTCAGGTGTGGTGCTTCTGTGCTGGAGCAACTCACTCTTGGTCTTGTAGATGTGGTACTGCAAGTCCCTGTTGCCCACAAACTCGTACACCAGGATCTGCTCCTGCTTGCCCGTGTCAAGGTTCTGATCCAGACAGAATCCCAGCAGCCGCACCAGATTCGCGTGGTGGAGAGACGCCATGGCCCGCACCTGCAGGGGAAAGCAGAGAAAGCTGTGAAGGAACAACGAATATAGATGCCAACAATGACCATACAATGATGCTTCTCACTAGAGCTGCAGCATTTTACTGCTGCCAGATTTAGGCTAAACAAGGAATGCATGCAGAAGGTAAGCAAGGCTGCTAACAGTAAGCAAGGTGTGCAAAGGGACTAGAGGAGCTGTTAACAGCACGCAGGATATGGCCTCACCTCCGTCTCAAAGTCGTTGGTCATTACAGTGGAGCGCTTGATAGCCCACGGCTGCCCCTGCGGTGATAGGCCCTGGTAGACAATACCAAAGCCGCCCTTGCCAAGCACATTCTCCTTGGACCAGTTGTTGGTTGCCTTGACCATCTGCTGCAGCGAGAACTGCTCGCACACATCCAGCCCCTCCCACTTCTCTGCTCACACACAAAGTACAAGGAGGTTGAGAAAAGGGCGGAGAAAGGGGTGAACGATGGGAATACAGGGAAGGAAATTGCAGCAAAGGGGGTTGTTGAAGGGTGCAGATGAGTAGACACGGTAACCGGGCAGCACAGAGGCGGGTGGCGGCAGGCAGAGCAGGAGTGCAGGGAAGAAGGCCGGGAAAGATGTGAATGAAAGAGGTGCATGAATGGGAGAGACAGCATGGCAGCAGGGTTGGGGGTCTCACTTTGGCCGCGGGGCCACAGCAGCCATGCGAGCACAGCAGCCAGCAGCATGAAGCCGGCAAAGCAGCCCACAGCAATGCCCACTATGGCACCAGTGGACAGTGAGGAGACTGGCAAGTTGGGGGAAGTGGGTGTAAGGGGGAATGGAGAGGAAGGGGAAAAGGGCAAAAATGGGGTGAGTGGAGGTGACAAGGGAGTGATAAGGCCTGTGTAAAAATAAGCTCATGGAATGGCTGTTCATGTAGGACTGCCTAGAATTGGGCCAAGGCCAAGCAACTATGACAAAGGGGAAGGCTGAAAGGAGTGATGAGGTCTGTATAAGAAAATCCACCAGGGAGGGCTGCCTACACATTAGGCTCACCAGTGAGCAATGAGGCAAAGACAGAAGGGCTCACCGGTAGTGGTGGTGGAGTTGACAATAGCGCATGTGGACCCATTGCCTGAGTCAATAGCAGAGTACCCGGCATCACACTGGCACGTGAAGTGCTTGGAAGTGGAAGTGGAGGAAGGAGCAGGAGGCACACATGCCCCATGGCCGTCACACGGGCCGTTGTTAGTGATGCTGCAGAACGCCTGGCAGGCAGCCGCGCTGCGCTGGGTGGCGTTGGACACACAGTTCGCTTCCGGGCTGAGGGTCAGGCAGTTGCCGGACAGACTCACACTCGCACTCTTGCCTACCCCCGCCACGGAGTAATCCCTCGACCCTGAGATTCCACTATCACTGCACTTCCCTGCAAACGCATCGAAGGTGTTTCCCTGGTCCAGGCTGTTCGGCTCAGTGATCTCCATGGGGCAGACCTGGCAGCCCGCAGCAAAGAGCACGGCGTCGCCGTAGAAGTAGTTGTGAGCCAAGTTGATGAGGGCATCTCCGTCTGCCACCATGTTCTTGAAGTTGCGGTTGATGCGCCCATACAGGCTGTTGTTGCTCACATCACTGGGGGGAGCGCGTGGGTCAGACAGAGGCCAGCAATGCTCACATCACAGGGATGTTGTTCGAACTTGAAGGGCATTCCAACCTTAGACTCAGCATTATAACACGAAATGCTGGCCATACTGGGGGTGTGTGTGGAACTGTGCGTGCATGCGGGACATTGGGTCTTGAGTAGCCTGGTTGGTTGGCTCACATTTGGTTGACACACTTGTTGAAGAGGCATTCTGGCAGCGGCCCATAGAGGTGGTTGTTGCCCACCATGCTGCCATGACATCCCAACACACACACCACCATGCAGGACCATGCGCCACACCCACCATGACCGTGAGCCACACCCACACGGAACCGCATAGGTAAGGAATTGTGGCTGATTTCAACCATCGTTTTGCTACATCCTCCTAAATCATAGATGCAGGATGTACATGACAGCCAATCACATGCACCCCAGTCACTCACATGCCCCATGGTCACTCACATGCCCCATGATCACTTACATGCCCCATGGTCACTCACATGCGGAACAGCCACTCACATGCGCCACAGCCACTCACATGCACCACACCGTGGCGGCCACGGCCACTCACATGCGCCACAGCGAGGGCAGGGAGCAGATGGCGGATGGCAGAGGGCCCTCAATGCCGTTGTTGTCCAGCCAGCTGGGGGGGGCAGGAGGGTGCAGAAGCAGCGGCAGAGGTCGGGACATGAGGGAAGGGTCAGGAGAAGGGGTATGATGAGCAACAGGGTGCAGGGGTATCAAGAGCAACAGTACTAGCACCGTTGGAAAGAGAGACAAGAGAAAAGGGGGAGGAGACGTAATCAGTAATAGGCTTTTGTTGTACCAACCAATGCCTTACCTGCCATACCTGTTCTTCATGTTAACTAGTACAAAGGACTAATTGGAAAAGGGGGGAAGAAAGGAAGAGGGAGGGGCACGCAGAGACGGACAGGAAGATAAGGCAGTCAAGAGGGCCCTCACATCTGTTGAAGATTCTCCAGTTGACTGATGGCAGCTGGCAGACTGCCACTCAGCTTGTTGTTGGCCAGATAGCTGCAGAGGTGGTGGAGGGTTTTTTTTGTTGTTGTTGTTGTTGTTGTTGTTGTTGTTGTTGTTGTTGTTGTTTTTCTTTCTTTCTTTTTTGGGGCTTTTAGTGATCCCAGGAGGAAATCCGGCCCCCTTTCCCACGTCGGTCAGCTGCAGGACCCTTCCAGAGAGATTGCCAAGATTGCAGAGATTGCAGAGGGGAAGGAGAGAGATAGCAGAGAGGTGGTGGTGTAAGGGAGAGCTGTGAGGGGCGATGCAAGAAAGCGCCATGGGTACAGACATGCAAGTGTGTGGTGATACAACAAAAGGCCGTCCGCCCTAAGACCTTTGGGCACTTGAGGCTCACAGGTGCTTGAGAGTGGTCATGTTGAAGATAACAGCAGGGATGGACCCTGTCAGCTGGTTGTTGTTGAGAATGCTGCAGGGGCACGGCGTGGAAGGGTCGTGGGAAGGGAGGGGCGTGGAAAGAGGGTCATAGGAAAGGAGGTGCAAATCCTGCTGTTTGCTAGGAGCTAGGGTGGCACTCCGAGCTTTCTTCTGAAACCACACCTGGTTGGAAGATGGCATTCTGGCACGCTGATTCACACGTGCGGAAGGGCATGTGTTGACGGGCATTTTGCAAGCACTGAAGACTCACACAGCCTCCAGACTGGTGAGGGTGGAGATGGAGTCAGGAATGGACCCGGTGAAGTTGTTGTTGCTGAGAGCTCTGAATCGCAACACATGCAATGAGTGCAACGAGGCAAACAGCACACTTGAGAAAGTTAGACGAGGCATCTTCTCCTAGATGCAATGTATGCAAATGGATGACACGGAACCCAGTGGGTACAAAACGGGATTGAATGAGTTATTGGGAGAGGCTGGGGAAAGCATGGGTGGGGGGGTGAGGAGAGGTGAGGGGGAGTGAGAGAGGCTTACAGCGACCCGATGCTGACTTTCCAAAGAGAGAAGTCTGGAAGGCGGCCTGTGAAGCCATTTCCTTTAAGGCTACTGCACAGTGCAACAGAAACAGATGAGGACAAAGGACGAAGAGAAAGGTGTTGACAGCGGCACACACAGTGGTGACACTGCTTACACCGTGTAAAGAGAGGTGGAGGCTCTGAGAGACTTTGGAGCCCGCCAGAAGGAAAGTTGCTTCTGAGTCGACTCAAAAGTTCTATGTGACATTGTAACGAGATGACTTTTGAGTTGACTCAACAGTGGTGACACTGCTTACACCGTGTAAAGAGAGGGGGAGGCTCTGAGAGCCTCTGGAAGGCCGCCAGAAAGAAAGTTGTTGGCCACTTGCCTGGAAGGAGAGGAAACGGAGGGAAGGGGTGGTTCCATGCAAGTGTTAGAGATGCATAGAAACAGCCCCCACACGTGCATGCAACTTGTGTACTCTGACTTCCACCCTCACATTGGGGGAAGAGAGTGCGGCAGACGCAATGTGCCGGATGGAAGAGAAGGAAACCGAGCAGGTGCAATGGAGATGAGGAGAGCTACTCACAGCGAGTCCAGCAAGGAGAGTTTAAACACGCCGGAAGGTATAGTCCCATGGAATTTGTTGTAGCTGAGATCACTGGGCAAGGGAGTCAAGAGCGGAGCAGCAACGCAAAGTTTCATTTAGTCTCCGAATTCCACATAAATGGATGAAGGACGGACAGAATGGGCTTGCTAAGGCCTCGTTAAAGGCTTGTGAGCTCCTAGCCTTTGTCTCGGTTGAGAAATGGCAAGAGTTCCTCTCTTCTCTCACGCCTGGCCCATAGGAGGCGATGGGACAGGAGCCAGAGAAGAGAGAAACCCCTTTTGATCCCCAAGCAAGGTAAAGGCCTTCAGCTCACGAGCCATTAACAAGCCCTGTTACATGCCCCTTGGGCAGCTCTTTTTGTTGTGGCACCCACCAGCACCCATGTTGCACCCACCAGCAGCCATGTTGTACCCACCAGCGGCCATGCTGCACCCACCAGCAGCCATGCTGCACCCACCAGCGGCCATGCTGCACCCACCAGCGGCCATGCTGCCTGCACCCACCAGCGGCCATGTTGCACTACTCACATATCCGCCAGAGTAGCAATGGTAGCCAACTTGTCGGGGATGGTCCCGGAGAAACTGTTGTTGCTCAAGTCCCTGCCAGCGCCATTGCCATTGCCATTGCCATTGCCATTGCCATGTGAGGTGTTGAGACAATCGATGGTGGGGGGAGTACTGGAAAATAGAGTGTGCATCACGATTCACATCGGCTGCTTTAGTAACCCCCTTGCAACCCGCCTCTGTTCACAGCCGCAGGTGCATATCTTACAGCAGAGAAAGGCTCTTGGATTGCAGAATAGGCTGGGGGAAGGTTCCCACGAAGTGATTGCCACTAATAAGTCTGACGCAAGCGACAAGGCAGGTGAGGTAGGCAGATGACGAGAGGGATGCATGCACCCATGCATGAACACACTCATGCAGGAAGGGATGTGGAAAAACACACATGCATGCCCTCATGCAAGGCCCACCGCAAAGATTTGCACACATGCGCCAGCTATAATAATTGCACGCAAGTGCATTCACGCATGCATACACAGGACAGTCAGGGGAGCACAACAAGAATATCTGGCACTTGCATTCACCTGCACGCATAATAACGACTCAAGAAAGCTGCGCATGAGAAGATGCATATAGGCACAGATGTATATTCCCACAATATCATACTATGCATGAAAGAGGCCAATAACTTCTGGTAGCTGTCAAATAGGTGCAATCGTTACCCTGGCTGTTACAGCATACCGCCCAGCCCAGGTAGGTGAGAAGGCGGTGGTGCTGCACGCATGAGGTGAGGGATGGATAGAGCACACAGGGACGCTAAACCAGAAGCCTTAAACTGTAAACTCACAAGGTATCAAGGCCCGTGAGAGCTGTAAGAGATGCTGGAAGCACACCGGAGAAGTTGTTGGTACTGAGGTCACTGCAGAGAGAATTCAAGGGAGTGGGTCAGCAATGGATTGAAGGACACGCAAGGGGAGGAGGCGACGCAAGGTGGAAGAAGATGGGAGGTGGGAGACAAAGACGCAGTTGAGGTGGGAAAGAGGGGGGGCCACTCACAAGCTCATAAGCCATGTCAACTGAACCACTCACATGTTTATGAGCCACGTCATCTGAGGCACTTACATGCCTGTGAGCCACGTCATCTGAACCAGCACATCCAGGCCTGAGCTGAGGCTGTTGTTACCAAGGTCCCTGTCATGTCATGTGGAGCCGGCACGCACATCAAAGGCGAGGAGAAAATGTGAGGCTAGGGGCAACACATTGGTGGAGTAAGGCACAGAAATTAGCAACCAGTAATCTGATGGTTTATCCCAATAGGTATGATAATACACCTGGCTATCTGATGACTTTGCAAGTATAAAGGCACATTCTAGTGGTCCGTAGTACAACTTCGAGTGATCCCAATCCGATCCCATCACATCTGCCTCCTCTCCCTCTGCTTCAGCATTTGGGTCCCCTCTCTTCCTTCTTCTTTTCCCTTAAAAGTGCAACCCATTCTGTGCTCAGGTCACGTCATTCCCTTGGCAAACACTGTTAATTTTGACAGCGGTTCAGCGCAGACGGGGCCAAAGGCGAAGCACAGTGGGGGAAGAGGCATACATATAACTTATGCCAGTGAGCTGAGTAAAGGCGTTGGGAATGCCTCCCGTGAACAGATTGTTGGTCAATGACCTTCAGCCAGGGCAGGGCAGCCCAACAGGAAATTGTTCACAGCTCATTGGGATGGAGCAAACACTAGCACAGAGATAGAGGAAGCGAATTGCACATATGAGGCCAGATAAGAGGAGTGAGTCAGGCAGAGAGTGCAGTCAGGCAAAGGGGGGGGGCAAGGGGCCAAGAAATGCGAGGTGCAGAGACAAGTGTATGGTGTTCGAGAGAACACCGATGGGTCTTACAGCTCAGAGAGGCTGGGCAGTGCGAGGTGTGGCGGGATATTTCCAGTGAAGGCATTGTAACCAAGGGATCTGGATAGGCAGGACATGCGAGGCAGGATATGTGACGCAGGACATTCGAGTACGGGATGGAACACTCCACGAATTTAAGGGCCAAACGCGCAGATGGGTGAACACTAAAAATGGAGGAAGAGTTGGACAAAGGTGGCAGGGGGTTGGGGGGAGGGGAGGGAGGGGGGGGGGAAGACAGAGAGATTGAGAGAAGGGAGTGGGGGGGGGGGGGGGAGGGAGGGATGAAGTGATATATAGAGGGGGGGGGGATGAAGTGATATATAGAAGGGGGGGGGGGGGGGATGAAGTGATATTTAGGGGGGGGGGTGGGGGGGGGTAGAGGAGAGGGAGGGAGAAAGAGAAGCGAGAGCAAGAGAGTGAGAGAGTGCGTGTGAGAGAGAGGAAAAGTCCGGCGCTGCACAGAGAATCGGGGATTGCGGGGCTGTGGCATGGCTTGGGAGACGCACAGTGTCACCATGTTGGTAGTGAAGGCAGCAGGTATCGTGCCGGAAAGAAAGTTCATCCTAAGGTTCCTGCCATTGAGCGAGGCACAAGCAACAATCTTGTAAGTGAAGGAGGGAGCAAGGAAGGAGTCGGAAACGAGACATGGACAGAGTGGAGGGCAGACGGAGAGCAGTACGGCGCACGCCTTGGAGCGTGTGGCTGGGACGGTCGCCCTGCAAGCAGTGGAACTTACAATTCAGAAAGGGCTGTTAGGGTGGAGAATGTGGCTGGGATGGTGCCCTGGAGACGGTTGGTTTCTAAGTTTCTGCAAGAGAAAGCAAGCAAGATATTCCATGTTGAAGATGCATGTAGGTGCTGGGGTTGACAAATTCCTCGCAGCAGCATGGCAGCACGGCAGCACCGCAGCATGGCAACATGGCAGCATGGCAGCATGGCAGCATGGCAGCATAGCAACATGGCAGCACGGCAGCATGGCAGCATGGCAGCACGGCAGCATGGCAGCATGGCAGCATGGCAGCACGGCAGCACGGCAGCATGGCAGTATGGCAGTATGGCAGCATGACAGCATGGCAGCACGGCAGCAAAGCACCAGGGGCGGGTGGCTCACAGGTATTCCAGGTTGACCAGAGTGGACCAGCTCTTGGGCAGGTATCCCTCCAGGTTGTTGCCACTGATGGATCTGCACGAGAGTGGCATGCGAGCAGGCAACGAATGGACGCCTGAGGTCAAGACCAGCAGGGGTTCTTGAGATTCATGGGAAGGACTCGCGGGTGGCTTGCTTGCCCTGCTGCTGCGTAAGGAAAAGCAGCAAGGTGAGGAGCAAGGAGAGAGTGGGCACTGCCATGCTTGCTGCACCCCCTCGCTTGCTGCACTCTCACGCCAACCGCACTCCCATGCCCGCTCCACTCCCACGCCCATCCCATGCTCACTGCACTCATACTCGCCGCACTCCCGTGCGCACTGCACTCACAGGCTGGTGAGCGTTTTGAGCAGCGAGATGTCATCGGACAGCAGTCCTTGCCGCCTTTCATCGTCGGCGTTCACGTTCCTGCACACAAGAGAGAGCACTTTCCACGCTGAGACAAAGCCGGATCAAGGTGGGTTCTAATCTAATGCCTAGTGCTGTGCGGTGGAAAGGAGAGAAAGCATGTGGCAATGGCGAGAAACGTGGGTAGGTGGGGGGAGAAACGGAGAACTCACAGAGACTGCAGGTTGGAGAGGTGAGTGACCCAATCGGGAAACTCCACAGCACGGAGCAAGGATAGGTCGCTGCAGGGAGGAAGGCAAGGAGATGGGATGTAGGGAAGCCAATATACGGGTGAATAGCAAGGCTGCTCACTGACATCACATGTTGAGAGGAAACAATACAGTCCACAGCATGCTTGATTGTGTGAAACTTACAGCGCAGTGAGGCCAGTCATGTATCGAATCTGCAAGGGTATCTCCCCCGTGGCATTGGTAAACGAGGTGACTGTCCTGCAGTCATGCGAATCAGCAAGAGTGAATGCACAACAACCAGAAGCCAATCACGAGCTGAGAAGAACCATATCACACAATGACATGAACAACACGAATACTCAGCATAGAAGCACAATGCCTGCCAGCAACCCTCTTTGTGTACCCTCTTTGCATACAGGCTTTGAAGGCTCTTCAGGTGAGTGAGAATGTGCAGCGAGGACAAGTCGCCTGTGAATTCCGCAAAGTAGCCAAGAAACCTGTAGATGGGAGGGCGGTGACACATGTGAGAAGGCATGGGGTGGGTGGAGGGTGGATGAAAGCATGGGGCTTCCACCCACCCTCAAAGTAGTCAAGAAACCTGGCGGTGGGAGGGTGGGAGATGTGAAAGGAAACACTGGGGTTGCCCTAGCGGGTCCTGTGGAAGGGCTACAGGCCTCCAAGCCTGGGGGCTGCAGAAACATGCCCGTTTTAGCGCAGTGGTATTCGGCTGCGTTTCTGACAGGAGAGACATGCGAGATGCCAGCCAAGGGGTGGGTAGAAGGCGAGAGCCATGATGTGGGAGTGGGGGCATGGGGTGGCCTATGAATGCACTGCACATGGGTTGCTGGAACACTGTGCCGTGCCGCTGTGAAGGCTGCAGGCTTAGTGACCTAGTGGGGACGCCAAATGCACGCAGACTGGCGGATAGTGCTTGCAGGGCAAACATTACTTGCGGGGCGAACATGGCTTGCAAGGCGTACAATGTCTGCAGGTTTGAGAGGGAGGAGAGCCAAGCGAGTCCTTCTAGAGTGCCAGTCACCGTGTTGCCGTCATATCCAAGGGCCCTGAGGCCACACGGAGCACGCAAATGAGCAAGGGAACACATGCAGGGGGGAAGGCACATGTACAGGGTCGATGGTAGCTTATGCAGTGGCCAATGGTAACACGTAATGTGAGAAAGGATCGGATGGCTGCAGGCGCGGAGTGCAACCAAGGCTTTATTCTTTGAACAAAGAGCAAGCTTGAGGGGCATGAATGAGGCTCAAGAGTGTAGAGGGGATAGGCCAAGAAGGCACTGTATGAGTCTAAGTGGCTTGGCTAGGCCGTGTTGTCCCATAGGAGAGGCACGTACAGGTGGGTGAGGCTGGTGAGACTGGCGAGCGATGGAATGGTCCCCACCAGATCAACGTTGGTCAGATCGCTGCGGGGATGGGAAGGCAGGAATGGCAGGGAAGGCAGGAATGGCAGGGAAGGCAGGAATGGCAGGGAAGGCAGGGAATGAACAGTGGAGTGGAGAAAGCAGCACAAGGATGGGGAGATGGAAAGGTGGAAGGAAAGATGCAAGACTCCTGGAGATCGATGCCAGTGGGTCGATCATAGTTGCTGGTCAGATTGGTACATAGGTGAGGTAAGGAAGGCCAGCGAAAGGTGATGGTCAGGTGTGGTGTGGAGGGAGAGATGGATGGGATGGAAAGCGGAAGCATGAAGCATGGGCGTGTAGAATGGGTGCGACCATGCGAGTGCAAGAACAGGAGGAGAAAGGCCGGGCGGCGCATGGGGAGGAAGGGGTAGCAAGGGACAGGGGCACTGACATGTTCTGGAGAGTGGCGCGAGTAGAGAGTGTGAGTGCAAGAACAGGAGTAGCAAGGGCGAGTGGAGCATGGGGTGGGGAGCAAGGGGCACTGACAGGTTCTGGAGAGTGGCGAGAGTAGTGATGGCGGCAGGCATGGCGCCTGTGGGAGAGGAATCCGATTGGGGAAACTCATTTGAATCCCTGCCAACACCACCATGCATGCCCGCACATACCAGTGCACCCATCCCCCCACCCATCCACCCACCCACCCGTCTCCCCCCCCATTCATCCCCCCCCCTCATCCCCCCCCCTCATCCCCCCCCCCCCATGCCCATCTCCCACCCCACTCCCCTTCCCCGCATCCACCCTCACCCCCCCAGCACCCCACCTTCCTCCACGTTCCCCTATCCCCCTCCCCCGTCCGCAGTGCCACACAATTCCTTCCTCCCCTCTCCCCCCGTCCACCTCCCCCTTCCCACCTTCCCCACTTGCCCACTTCCCCCTTCCCTCTTCCCCCTCCCCTTCTGTCCCCCCCACCCCCCCCCCTCTCCCTCCCTCTCACCCCCCCCCACAGACACACACAGAGCCCAGGGCAGCAGGGAATGCAACAGCTGCGCGGAGCACATCGATGAGAGCACAGCGATGAGAGCACAGCGATGATGAGAGCACCGCGATGATGAGAGCACCGCGATGATGAGAGCACAGCGATTATGAGAGCACAGCGATGATGAGAGCACAGCGATGATAAGAGCACAGCGATGAGAGCACAGCGATGAGAGCACAGCGATGAGAGCACGTGGTGCACCAAATGAGGAACGGTGAGAGCCATGATGGGCGATGATCAGCGATGATGGCTGGTGAGGGGCGACGATGGCAGATGATGGCCGACCGATGATGGCGATGATCGGCGATGATGGGCGATGGTGGCCGGTGAGGAACGATGATGGCCAATAAGCGCCGATGGAGGGCAATGAGGGGGATGCCGGGCCATGGGACTCACAGGCCAACGACGAGCCCCTTGGGGCTGCACGTGACGCCCTTCCATGCTGCGCACGCGGTGCTGGCGTTGCCGTTCTTCCCCCACGCGCGCCATGCCTTGTTCAGCTGCACCAGCGCGCTCACTGCCGGCAGAACGGGTAATGGGGGGATGTGGTAACGCAATGGGTCAAGGGGAAGGTTAGGATGCTTGCGTTTTCACGCCTTGCTGAGCTGCACCAGCGCGCTCACTGCTGGGTAGGAATGGAGAAACCGGGAGATGGTGTATGGGATGATGGGGGGGTTAGGATTCGCGCACCACCATGCCAGCTGCACCAGCGCGCTCACTGCCGGCAGAACGGGGGGGCATCAGGTGATGGATGGAGGAACGGGAAATGGGGTAAGGTGGGGTTAGGATGCGCGCCCATCATTCTCCACGTGCACAAGCACGCTCACTGCTGGCAGCCATCAGGGTAATGGGGGAATGGGGTAAGTAATGGGGCAATGGGTGAATGGGGTTATGGCGGATTACGATGCGCGCCCATCATGCGTCACCTGCACCAGCGCGCTCACTCTGGCAAAACGGGGGCCAGTAGGAAATGATGGAATGGGTAAGTAATGGGGTAATGGGGGGGTTAGGATGCGCGCACCATGCTTCTGCTGCACCAACGGCTCACTGCCGGCGGGGGCCAACAGGCAGGTAATCCGGTAATCAGGTAATGGGGGAATGGGTAAAGAGGTGGGGATGCACGAGCCATCTTGCACCTGCATCAGCGCGCTCACTGCACGCCGCTCGCACCGATAGTTTTGAAAGTAGGGGCAACCGGAGGAAACCAGCGCGTCTCAGCGCGTGCTCGCCGCAACTTGCGCCCGAGTCCCCCGCCAACTCCGAGCTCCGAAAACTTTGAAACAGGAAGGAGTTCTTGGGGGTGTTGGGGTGGGGGGGGGGGGGAACGTGGAGGGGGGGGGGGGTTTGGGGGTGGGGGGGGGAGGGGGGATGGGCGAGGGAAGGGAGGGGGGGCGCTCATCTGGACTCACATTGCGACGCTTCCAGAAGGACCGCCGGCCCTGCGGCGGCGGCGCTCGCGGCCGCCTGGACGGTGGCGTCAACTCGCTTCAAGAGGGAGCGGCGCGCGCGGGCGCGGGCGGCGGCGGCGGCGGGGCGGGCAAGAGGAGCGGCGGCCATCCGCAGGCGCTGCTTCGGCGGCACGCGCCGGCCATGATGCAGGGGCAGGGAGGCGTGATACAGGCGCGGAGGCGGCGCCGCCGCTGCCGCTGCCGCCGCCGCCGCAGGGCCAGCGCTGCCGGAGAGAACTGCAAGACGGTTGGAGGCGGAGAAGGCGCAATCCGCGGCGACAGTGAGCGCGAGGGCGGCGAGGGCCGTCAGGAGGAGCAGGCGAGGCGCGACGGCGGCGGCAAAGTTGAAGTTTGCGAATGGCGCGGGCCACGCGGCGGAAGGCGCGGCAATGCGGCGGCGCCGCGTGGCGGAAGGGGTGCCGCGGCGAGAGCTTGGCGTGATGCGCGGCATTTTCGTGAACGAGTTGTTCCGAACGACGAAGTCAGCGACGAAATACTAGTCTCTGTGACTCACTCAGACTACTAGAGTAGTAGCGATTTCAGGGTGTTCGCGCGCCGCGCGCTTGTGTATTTTGCGCTACTAATAGTAATACGTGTCGGGAGCTCGCAGCCGCATTTCTGGAAGCAGCGTCACTGACGAAGGGAAGTTGTGACCCTAGGCCCTAGCTGGGACGGGGTACGTCAGTTAGAAAGAACCCAGGAGGCAAGGCTGCTTGTAGGAGCTGATGCACGAGAGATCAGAAGACCTCGCGGCAGCAGCCTCACAAAGCTGGGGCCCTACTGGTAGTACTGCATTACAGTAGTGCTCCACGGGGGAAGAGGAGGGGAGGGGGGGCGGTGGGGGTGGGGGGAGGGGAGGGAGATAAAGCGCTAGCACGTTGCGAAGGGCATCGGTCGGATCGGGTGTCTGTCAAGGTCAACTCAGGTCGCCGCCGCGGCATGGTGATGAGTGTGCAGAGTTTAGGGTGCAGTGTCGGACGGGTTGGCAGGGGTGCATGCCAGGGCTCATTTTTCAAGAAGAATTACCCGAAATGAATCAACATTAAAGCGAGAGGTTATAATAGTGACCCATCTTTCTAGTTGGGCCCAACTTGATTGGGACCCTCGAACAGATATAGGGGTGGGCAGTCACTCAGCAGCAAAAGCACCTGCCCGCGCGACAAATTTGGATATGTGGATGCGGGTGTGTTTATAAACATAATACTAGCTAGCACGCCTCGTTGGGGCTCGTTTGTTACCGTATTATGTTGACCTCGATTGGTTGCGGTTCAGTCAAACTCAAAAGGGTGGACACGAAATGGGAAAAATGTTGTTGGTCGGTGATCGAAGTAAACAGCCCTTGATTTGTTAGCTCTGGGTAGGGAGAAATTCCGACCAATCAGAAATGCAGTTGTGTTCTTGCATCAGTAGTGAACCCGGGTCCAATTTGAAAACCAAGTTGGGCCCACTTTGAGAATGACGAAGCAATGGGGTCGCACAAGAACCTGCGACCTGCGACCTGCTCGCTCTGAACAGCGTGCCTGCGTTGTGGAACTGCCCTGGTTCTGCCGAGTGAGGCTAACAACCCCTTAGAAAAAATCGAGGGTTCCTTGGTTTCAAGTTGGACCCGCCTTCACTATTTTAGCCCCTCGCTATTTTAGCGCATGACCCAAGAACGATCAAGACTAAAAGTCTTTGATTCTTGGTCTGAGAGGTGAAATCCGCAGGGGTGTTGCGAAACGAAAAATGGGTCTGAGAGCCCTCTGCATTCCCTGGCAGTATAGCTAGCCGTCTTCCCCCGCTGGTCCCTTGCCTTCCGCGCCCTGTTCCCCTGCTATCCGCCCCTTGTTCCCCCACTATCCGCACCCTGTTCCCCGCTATCCGCGCCCTGTTCCCCTGCTATCCGTCACCTGTTCCCCCGCTATTCCTCCCCTGTTCCCCTGCTATCCACCCCCTGTTCCCCCCTTATCCGCCCCTGTTCCCCTTGCTACCCTACGGCTATCCCTGGTTAACCCCACGCCTAGCTCCCTTGCATTCAACGCCGGCTATCCCTTGCCTTCTCCAATTGAAAATGGAGTGAGAAGGGGAGCAGGGGGGTGGGGGGAAATGAGGGCGAGTGGAAGGGAGTAGGATGACGCAGAGAAGGGAGATTAACGGCGAGGGGCAGGGAGAAATGGCGGCGAGGGGAAGCTTGATGGATGACGCGGATAAGGGCGACACGGGGAAGGGCGAAGCGGAGAAGGGCAACGCGGGAAAGGGTGACGCGGGGAAGGGCAACAGCGGGGAAGGGCGACAGCGAGGAAGGGCGACAGCGGGGAAGGGCGACATCGGGGAAGGGCGACAGCGGGGAAGGGCAACGCAGGGAAGGGCGACAGCAAGGAAGGGCGACAGCAGGGAAGGGCGACAACGAGGAAGGGTTGCATGTGCGAGGAGGGGTTGGGATATGTGGGACGAGGGGAAGAGAGTCCTGGGGGAGGGTTGCATGTGCGACGAGGGGGACGGCGAAGGGGGAGTTGCATGTGCGACGAGGGGATGGGTGATCGACCTTCGAGCACAATATTGGCTGTTTTGCAAGGAGAAGAGCGCGGAGTGGCTCACTGGTTGTTAGTTGCAACGCGAGTGGTCTGGGTCGCGCTTCAAATTCCCGTGAGTCTGCTGGTTTCTGTAGCTAATGCCGTCTTGTTCGCAAAACGTAGCCGCGTGCTATTGCGTGAGGCGACAGTAACCTAAAGTGTGTCGACTTTTTTTTTTTCCACTGCGTACCTGCGTGCATCGCTAAGCCTCGACGATCTCCTAAAATTTTAGGATGTACACGCTAGTTAGTCATTCCTAGCTCGGTTTTTCTCCTACGCAGCGGCCGCCATAGTTGGGAGTCCCAAATAAACTTGATGCTCTGAGTCTTGATCCTCCCTCAGGGAACGGGTTATTTGCAGGTGCGGTCGCTCGCTGTCGCAGCCAACGTGGATGGGAAAGCAACCAATCCAACCTCGTAGTTCGGGGTTTCCATCCAGTCGCTCAGTTTCAGGGTAACCCTGTGAACGAAGCTTGGGTTTTGTGAGAGACCAAGGATGAAAGACTTTGAGTCTTGATCGTTCTTGGGTTACGCGCTTTAAGAGTTGGCGCTAGGCTCGTTCCGGAATTTGAACGGGTAGAGTTATCGGGGTTTGCGGAATTTATGGAAATGGTGTTGCGGGATTTTTCGGGCAGATCAGAATTTGCTAGGGGGGCAATCCGGATGCACCTGCCAAGAGATCCCCCCTCTCCACCCACTCCCCCTCCCCACCCCCTCCTCGCACACGGGGTGGCAGAAACATTTTTCCGGCTCACTCCCCAACATCCAGAAACAATCCCCACAGACCCGCCGAACCCAGGAAACTCGGCGAGTCCCTCACAGAGAGTTAAACTCCAACACCCGCACAAGTCAAGAAACTCGGCTAAGTCCCCATCTTCCGGTAGCATTCCTTCCTACCCCGCAACCAAGCAAAAATGGCGAAGTCCCCCACACACAGACATACCGTGCTCCTCCCACCCGCACCACCCTAAACGCATAATTTTCGGCTAGGAGCATTCCTTGGCCCTAACAGGGATACTCCTCTCACCCGCACCCACGAGCCATCGCCTCGTCCTCACAGCAGGAAAATTCCAGCCTTTCCCTGTAACCTAGATAACCTGGCTAAGTCTCCCTTACACAGGGTTACTCCTCCCACCCTTACCACCCTAAATCTATAATATTTGGCGTCCCTCACAAGTGGGAAATTCCTTCTACAGCCCACCACGCCCACACAGCTAGGAAGATTTGGCTAAAAACGTTTACCCTTCCCACCCACACACCCCCCCCCCCCCCCCCCCCCGTCACAGGATCGAATGTCTTGAGGAAAGGTTTGCTCAATGTTGCACTATCATTCAGTACAAGGTGCTTTTATACTTCCAAAGTACATCAGGTAACCAGGTTTATCCTATCCAAAGGAAATAGACCCTTCTAGAAATAGAATCACCCTGCGTATAGCCACGCGAGGCTATTGGCTTTAAGGGATTACGGCAAGATTACGCTAGATATAGCGCGCCAGTACATCCCGAGCCTGGTCGGTGATATCATAATAATACTATGATAAACCAAAGGATAATGGCAAAGGAGGAATAGGAAACCAAATGAGATGAGATAAAGACCAAATAAATCAGGAGTGAAAGAGGAATGAAATAGAAAGGAAATATGGAAAGGGGAAAATAGTGTAACGGGGTCGTACTCTCACACCTCCCCTTCCCCTTCCCGCAACCCAGAAAGTTGTGAAGGTTGCTGCCAAATATTCTACCCTACCTTAGCGAGTTTGTCGGAAACTAGCGAAAGAAATTAGCACTCTTAGCATAGTCGCTCATTTTCTTTGCAAGCTGCAAATGTTACCCTGTATGGACCCGCGGTACATATTCCCTGAAATGTGTTTCCTTTTATAACATTGGGAATCTGATTACAGCGTAACCAAGTCATGGGAAATGAATGTCCTCGCCAGCTGTTATGAATGAACAAGCAGAGTAGCGCGGAAATGAATAACGAAGTGTTCAATCACTGAATGATGATACAAGGAATGGCAAGCCAAGATATCGGAACACCAGCGCCGGTCTAACCATGAGATGGGAAGGTTCTGGAAAGAGATCGAAGGGTCTTGAAGTGACGAAGCGAGGCCCGGAGAACTCCCGAAGGTCGAACTAGAAGGTCTGGAGAAGCCGAGGCGGTTCTGTCAGAAAGGTCCGGAACTGTCCTGAGGCTTTTGGTGTGTTCGAGCGTACGCGATATCAGTACCGCTCGGTAAGGAATGGAAAATTCCTTACACCACCTCCCCCCTTAGCGAAGGTGATCTATATCAGGCACGTGCTTGCGGGCCAAAAACTTCGCAAGTATCGAAGGTGACTGCACCGTAATCCCCCGTATGTAACACCCTAGGGTATTGTCAAAATTTCATAAAAAAGGCGTATGGGTGTTAACAGTAGGCTGGAAAAATATAACGCCCATGTCTTATTTAAAATGCAAAATGAATTTGGGTTGTAACACACACTCTGAGGCCAGAACTTCACCGAGCATTTGCTAACGAGGAATCTGCTACATAGATTGTGTACTCTGACAGTGTCAGTTTGGTGCCTCTGAAAACGGTGGGAGATTGATGCAGCAGCAGTGCCATGTCTCATTGACCAATCTTGTATGAGTGTTGTGAACAGAGTCACGATAATTGCTGACGCGATCGAGGTGGTTCAACAGCAAGATGGACGGTCGAGATCCTCTCGACACTTTTTGTCTTTGGATTTCATTTTGCCACTTGTATTGATTCTTCTGCCTGTCTTTGCGCTGCGAATGGCAGCTGACGCGATTTTCATCATGCTCCTTTTTTTGCAGCTGAGCGAACCTTGGTAATGAAGGACCGAATACTATTTAAAGGCAAGAAAAACGAGCAGGGTGTTATGTAAAATGCAAACCCAGAAAAGCGGGCACTCTAAAAAATGCGCCATGTCATAAGCTATCCCCTGCATATGCCACCACCCATGGGCTGACTATTTCGGCGGGTCTTATACATGGGGGATTACGGTATCTGGTCCGAGGGCACCCACGTGTCGTCCTCACTGGTACAATTGGTCCATCGTATCAGAAAATCAACGTTTCATTCTTGGCCGTCGATACAAATCCTACGGCTCAAAATCTGTTAAGGCTCGATGGTCGTCTCTGCTAGTGGCCGTACATCCGGGAGCAATCGCTGTCGGGCGATGTCCGATGCGTCAGGTACAAAGGGTCGTAACAGGCTCAC